AAATGGGGAAGGGGTGGGTTAATTCCAAATAACATAATGTCAAGTTTTTAAGTTACAATATGTATTAAAAAATCTTCGACACTTGCGTATTTCCATAGCTACGTAAGTAATTTTATTAGTTTGAACTAAATTTTTAGGTAAAGAAAATGATACCATCCAAATCTGGTCATGGAATTGTAGAAGGGTTCAACACGATGTTTGGCTGTAGCTGAGCCTATAATTGCTAAATGTGATGCTGGATGACATCTCGGTTCTTTGTCAATCAAATCGACTTAGTATTTATATTCATGTTTGAGAAACATTAATTACTTTTTTTCACTTTCTTCTTCAGGCAGAATTAATTGATCCTGCCCTCAAAGGGACACTCAATGTTCTCGAATCATGTGCAAAAACACCATCTGTTAAAAGAGTTGTTTTGACATCTTCTATGGCTGCTGTTGGTTACAATGGCAAGCCTCGAACACCTGAAGTGATAGTCGATGAAACTTGGTGGTCTATTCCGGAGGTCTGCAAAGAAATGAAGGTTTGTACTATTCTTCAGCATTCGCTTTGAGATATGTACATCTGCAAATGCAGGCAGACTTTTAAATAGATTTTGTGGGGTTTTTTTTTTTTTTTTTGGCCATTGACTATCTAATTTTATAGTTTTGGTTTTTATTCCCTGTGAACCAAGTTATTTAATTCGTGGAGGATACAAATTTCTTACTCTTAAGTAATGATGAGGCTTTGACTTACAAAATATATTTTAAATATTGGAACTGAGAAATCAACAATTTACTATTTGCAACAAGTGGTAACAGTAATAACATATAAATGTGATGAATAGTAAATTCATATACCAAAATTTGGGGACCGTTCTTGAACCAGCGAACTCGTGAGAAATATCAGACAGGTATTCATGTTTTGTTGCCATAGAAAAGCTTGTAACATGTTTGAAAATAGCCTGGTTGGAGTCTTTGGGCAGTAGACACTAGAATGCTAAAATCTGAATATGAGGAGATTGATTCTCAATTTCTGTTTTGCTTGGTTATCTGTACTTAATGTTCCGTATTCTTTTCTTCCGATTTTCGTGTTGTTTCTACTAGCAATGGTATGTGCTTTCAAAGACATTGGCCGAGGATGCTGCCTGGAAATTTATGAAAGAGAAAGGTCTCGACATGGTCACCATAAACCCAGCTATGGTTATTGGTCCACTGTTGCAGCCCACACTTAACACAAGTGCTGCAGCAGTTTTAAACTTGATAAAGAGTAAGTTCTATTTGCTGAACAGTTAGATGTTAGACCCTTTGTTCTTTGAATAAAGCTTCTTGTACATTAATTGGTTGACATGGAGTTTGACACTCCATATATTTTCAAATACAAATGGGCGGGAAAGTGTATTTTATTTTAATATCGTCCACTCATGCCACAACACGTGGCACCAATGTCAAACTTGATGTCAAATGAAATGTACATGTAGCATGATTGTTGTTCTTTTTGCACAAGCATTGCTTTATTTTTCCTCAAATGATTACTACGATACTGCTAATGTTAGTTGTCAACAATATTAATATTCATGGAATCAGGTCATTTGTTTCTTTTGATTCAGATCAGTGAGAAACTTTGATCAGTGGCTTATATTTACTCATCCCATTCTCTAGAACCCTACTTCTATATTGGCATATTGCCGAGTGATGCGTAACGGGAAATTTCAATCTGCACAATCACTTCAGCTATGCAAATCAAATTAATAAAAGCTTGTTTGGGAAGTATTTGCTTAAATTTATAACAGATAGGAATGAGTGGTAGATAAGTTGATAGTACTTGTGGGTCCAAAAATGTGTGGATAAAAAGTGGATTGAGTATTTATAAACGGTTTATAAGCATGAGCAAAACATAGGCTAAATTTCACTCTAATCTTTTTCTATTGAGAAGCATATATGGTAAAACTTGAAAATTGATGGCATGAAATTCTTACAGTGTAAAATTTTTTTCCTTTTTAGTATTGATATTGGAACTTTTCTTGTCATTTTTACCTTTTCTTCTTGGAATACCTAATAACTCGTGCATGGGTAACTTTTTATGCAGGTCCCGAACCTTACCCAAATGCTACATTTGGATGGGTTAATGTCAAAGATGTCGCTGATGCTCATATTTTGGCATTTGAGAATCCTTCAGCTAATGGAAGATATTGTTTGGTCGAGAGCGTTGCACATTTTTCAGAAATTGTGCAAATACTACGTGAGCTTTACCCTACTCTTCCTCTTCCAGAAAAGTAAGTTATTTTATGATTCAATATCCAATACATGGTTATATTAACAATGAGTTACCATCTTGTGAAGAATTTAATGTGAATGATGCTGTGTACGTGGTAGTGTGATTCAGCTCGCCAATATAAGAACTCGGTTGCTTAAAGAAAGAAAGAAAGAAGAAAATCCTATTTGGTTGACCGTGTGAATAATTGATTTATAATTTAGTGTTTGGTTTAATCTTGAATTAATTTTCCAAGCCAAGGAGGAGTTTCATGTAAGTTTAATCAGTTGCACTACAACCAGATGGGATCCCCAAGAATCAGGAGTTGTCTTTATAAATAAATATAGAAATAGTTTCTTGAACCATTATTATCTTAAATCTAGGAATCATTCAATTAAAAAATGTAGTATCAGAAATTTGGCGCTCATGTTTCCCAGTAAACAAGATGGCGGCGGATATTCCATGAACTTCGAAAGTTCACCATAACTAATTCTTTTTTTACTTACTAGGCAAAAATCTGTATATCAATTTTTAAACAATCGTTAAAAATTAGAATATAATAGGATTCCATGAACTTGGAAAGTTCACCATAACTAATTCTTTTTTTTTTACTTACTAGGCAAAAATCTGTATAGCAATTTTTAAATAATCGTTAAAATTAGAATGTAATAGGAGCCAAATTCTTGATGTTAGTATTTTTGTTAACTTCCCACTTTGCAAAACTTATGCTTCTTGTACGAAGATGGATGTCTGAATTATTAAAGTAGCAGCATGCCACTTGAGTCTTGTAATCAGAATCATCAAAACTTATATTGGGATCTAAATTTTTTTATACAAAATGCCAATAGAGCTAAGGTATCCCAGCTCAAACCTTGCTTGTTCAACTAGCTCATTTTCTGGCTGATCTTGAAGTATTTGAGTTCAAATAAGAAATCTGTACAAAATTTGAGTTGATCGGGAGCCTAAGGTGCAAGCCAAACTAGGCTTGATCCACTGAAATTTCGGGTTGTCAAATAATGGAGTTTTTTCTAATAGTATAACTGAAATATCCTCTGCAGGTGTGCCGACGACAAACCATTTGTGCCAAAATACCAGGTCTCAAAAGAGAAGACAAAAAGCTTGGGCATTGAATTCACCCCTGTTAAAGAAAGCATCAAGGAAACTGTCGAAAGCTTGAAGGAGAAGAACTTTTTCGGAGCCTTGTCCGCTAAGTGAGTGTCCTGTGTTCTCAAGAACTCGGTCTTTGGATTGTATGATCAACTTTTAAGTATAATACAGAGATATTTGTGTCCATCTTTAATTCATCATGAGAAATTGGAATCTTATGCTAGTGCTTTTACATTCTGGAAAAACCACAATGGAAAGACTTTTTATGTCTGAATAATATTACTTCCCCTCGTAAATTGCACGTTCCCTTTATTTTGGTTTGTATATATTAGCAAAAAAGATGGAAATTATCCCCATCCATCCCAAAGATGTTCGATTAGATTTTTTTCGGCTTCGACACATCTAATCAGGTCTAAAGAGGCTTGTGTTCATGAATGACATGATGTTGATGTAACATGTTAAAACGACGTGTAGATCAGAACTAGAATGGCTCATAGTAGTTGCCAAATATGTGGTTGCTTTTGATTTTTCTCTAGAACTAGAAATGTATCGAATGGAGTGGCAGTTAGTTCATTGTGAAATCATTTTTGCATCGACACCAATTATCAACGCTGGTCAGACGCTTTCGATTTTAACTTCTCGAGAAATATCGTCGTGATGCAAGTCATTGATAAATTATAGGCACGTTTGGAATGCATCGATAATTTGGCAAGGTATGCATTATTACTAAGTCAAAATTTTGAGTTTTACGGTCATGTTTGATGTGTATTATTGAACAACATAATATTTGAATATATTTCACTAAAAATATTCTTTTGTCCACAGTGGAGAGTTTTATATTATCTACTTGGAGAAAATCTAACAAACTGTTCTCACATTTGAATAACATGTGAACCATACCGACTCATGATTGCACTTCGTGGGAAGTCTTATATTTCACTCCCTATTCTTTATCTTGCTTTAATGATTGCACTTCGTTCCATCAACTTGTGAAAATGAGAGAACAATGAGCATGCCTCCTTAAACGTGAAAGGATCAAATAATTAACTTCCCTATTTTTTATCAATAAAAAGATAACTTGCTATAAAACTTATGAGTAAACTTTTAAGTTTGTGAACCATACCGACTCATTCTAATCCACTTCCTCCTACGACTAGTACTAGCCTAAGAAAAAAAGTTAGTGACCCATATTTGTAGAGTGATGCTATGTCAAAAAGAGCGAAGAGTATATTAAACTATTGTGACTTGTTATAGATTCTAAGGATTTTATCATTGAAATTAAAATTAGTAACAGACCAGGGTGGTAAAGAAATTTATACAACTGATTTTCTAGATTGATCGAAAACAACTTTAGTCTGTTAAAGGCCAAGAAAAATTCGAGGCAGAGGAATTGAGGACGCTAATCTTTTTCAAAATTGTTGCCCCACAAGGATGATCTACTACCCAACAATTTTCTTGCCAAGATAGACATTTAATACTTGGCAAAACCCTATTGGAGAACAACCCTTTTTGGATAAGAAAATGGATTACATTTGTATGAAGAAAATCCACTGTTTTCTGATGCACGAACACTTTTAACTCACAACCAATCTGCCCATTTCCTTATGCACATTGTGAATTCAAGAAAGGCTAAAACCTCTACATAAAGTGACTTACCAGCAATGGCTTCCATGACTATGACAGCCTCATTCTTGGGTGGCTCTCCCATTTCCAAACAACCTCCCACCGCCACACGCCGCAGAGGGGTTGTCATGGTTAAGGCCTCTAAGGAGGAAAAGGTGGTGATGGGCACCAAGGAAGAGGGCAACAGCACTAGAAGGGACTTGATGTTTGCGGCCGCAGCCGCAGCCGCGTTTTCAGTTGCAAAAGTTGCCATGGCTGATGAGCCTAAACGGGGGAGTGCAGAAGCTAAAAAGAAGTATGCACCTATTTGTGTTACTATGCCTACTGCCCGCATTTGTCGCAATTGAGATTTGATATTGCCTTTGGATGCCATAGTCTTATCCATTAATCTTGGAAGAGTATCGTAAAAACCTTATTCTCATCTAATTTATCTCATATTGCGTTGTCTATAAGACATATAGCTTGTGTTTGATCAACTATTTTCAACTGCAAAACATAGAATTTCAGATTTGTTACAAGTTTTAGGGTAGATCCTGCATTAAACGAATGATAAGAAAATAGTGTTCGATGTGCTTATAAACTTATGAAGCAATCAATTCACGAAATGATATACGTAAAACTTAGAAGTAATCGTTACAATCCATTCCCGTGTAAATGACTATTTTACAAAGTCTGTGACTCTTCATAACCAAAGCCATTTATAATTTGTTTTAGAAACTTCAATACAAGTTATCTAGCTAATGCATTCTATTGTGGTTTAAGCATCTACTCGTAATATTCTTCATTTAAATTTATTTTTCGAGGTACATTAAATTTAAATTGATTTTTTTAAAAATCAAAATCCTCGCGTGTACACAATTTTTATGGAGGTGAAGCTTAAATTCAAGATCTCTATTTGCTCTAACATTTACGTTGAACTGAAGCATTGTTTATACATTCCTTTTAGTCTCGACTCTAGAGATAATTTTTGTTCCACTATCTTTTGTCAAGTACCGTCTAAAGTTCCAATCGGGAACGTGAAATGATTTTTCATCATCTCATCTGAGAGGTTCATTACTTCAACTAATACCGAAGTTCGTCGAATAGAAATCTTAATTTTTGAAAACGTTATAAAACCTACAAGTAACACCGGTTTTTAATTTAAATTTAGCCTTCCACATTACGTGCAATGAGATGGAGTGTCTTAAAATGGTCTTTCTCGAGAGAAGGAAGTATTACTTGTCTAATGAGAATCTATGTATTGTAATTGATTGAGATACAATATGAGACAATAGAGAACATTAAGGACGCCTTCGATAGGTTGAACTAATTGAGTTCAACCGTACTAATTAATAATCCCACAACATTTATTAATTTTAGCCCCTGATTGAGCTACATTTTCATTTTCAACCACATTTTTCAATAAAATAATATTTTCCATCACATAAATAATTTTTCATTCATTTTCAACCACATATTCACCATCACATTATGAAAAAAATACATTCTTTCCATTTTAATGTGGATAAAAAACACTCTTAAATTCAATCCGCATTGCCAACTATTTGTGAAAATGGTGCACTTGTCATCTTTGACATGAAGTCAACGAAAGATTAAGCCCGTGTTTAGCTCGTATTGTAAATTTGTTACAAGTTTTAGGGTAGATCCTGATTAAACGAATGATAAGAAAATAGTGTTCGATGTGCTTATAAACTTATGAAGCAATCAATTCACGAAATGATATATGTAAAACTTGGAAGTAATCGTTACAATCTATTCCCGTGTAAATGACTATCTATTTTACCAAGTGTGTGACTCTTCATAACCAAAGCCATTTATAATTTGTGTTAGAAACTTCAATACAAGTTATCTAGCTAGTGCATTCTATTGTGGTTTAAGCATGTACTCGTAATATTCATCCATTTAAATTTATTTTTCGAGGTACTTTAAATGTAAATTGATTTAATTTTTTAAATCAAAATACTCACGCGTACACAATTTTTATGGAGGTGAAGCTTAAATTCAAGATCTCTATTTGCTCTAACATTCCTTTTAGTCTCGACTCTAGAGATAATTTTTGTTCATCTTTTGTCGAGTACCGCCTAAAGTTCCAATCGGGAACGTGAAATGATTTTTCATCATCTCATCTGAGAGGTTCATTACTTCAACTAATACCGGAGTTCGTCCAATAGAAATCTTAATTTTTGAAAACGTTATAAAACCTTCAAGTAACACCGGTTTTTAATTTAAATTTAGCCTCCACATTACGTGCAATGAGATGGAGTGTCTTAAAATGGTTTTTCTCGAGAGAAGCAAGTATTACTTGTCTAATGAGAATCTATGTATTGTAATTGATTGAGATACAATATGAGTGAATAGAGAACATTAAGGACGCCTTCGATAGGTTGAACTAATTGAGTTCAACCGTACTAATTAATAATCACACAACATTTTTATTAATTTTAGCCCTTGGTTGAGCTACATTCTCATTTTCAACCACATTCTTCAATAAAATAATATTTTCCATCACATAAATAATTTTTCCTTCATTTTCAACCACATATTCACCATCACATTACAAAAAAAATACATTCTTTCCATTTTAATGTGGATAAAAAACACTCTTAAATTCAATCCGCATTGCCAACTATTTGTGAAAATGGTGCAGTCGTCATCTTTGACATGAAGTCAACGAAAGATTAAGCCCGTGTTTAGCTCGTATTGTAAATTGTTTATAAATATTCAAGTAATAAACTTTTACCCACACGTTTGTAGGATCCACAAATACTTTTTTTTTTTTTTGATAACCTTGGATGTTCGAGCCAACTTGCGCGCACCTCGACTAATTTCACGGGGCCCTGAAGTTTACGGCCGGGTACTCACCTCAATGGTCCTGAGGGGACTCGAATTGGTGACCATTAGGGAGCAAACTCAAGATCTGACCAATTGAACAACCCCTCAGGGTTTTGTAGGATCCACAAATACTACTCTCTTATTTACAACTCGTTTCTATCTATTTATAATTTAAAAAATTTATAAATACTTCTCAAATATCTCTTAGGTTAACTTGGGATTGCTGAGGTCAAACAACTTGTACTTTTAATGAGTGGATTTGACATAGAAAGAGAACGAAATAGTTGAAAGGTAACTTGTCTCGCATAAAATTTAAGAAATAAAAATAAGTGTCATGAAATCGAAAATAAGCTGTGAATTTTGAAATCTCTATTAATTTTATTTGTACACTCATTTATCTCGTATTTCCTTATGGATAGAGCCAAGAAATCCCAAAGTACTTTCCTCGTCAAAATCTAAAATCCAAACAGAGCCTAAATATCTGACCAGGAAGCCTAATGTCAAGAATAGAGAAAAAAATACAAATGACAAACCTTCTAAGCTGATCAAGTAATCTTTACATTTCAACAAATCATCCAATAATTCTCTCAATTGCAGATGTTAGGAATAGAGAACAAAGCCAAAAACATCTTGGATGCTCAGTTTCAGCAAAAAAGTGACAAACATCGAGAAAATTGAAGATAAAAACCAAGTTTAAGAACAAGCAAAACACTCACTAGCTTTATACTGATATCAAATCCTCCGCTTGTTCCAGCAGTTACCGACCAGTAACAGCAAAGAAAACTCGTACTTGATTAGTACTTTTAATGGTTCTTTGTTCACTTCCCATTTTGCTGGGAGGCAACATAGTTGCGGATTACTTCCATAGCTAATTGATGGGCGCTCTTATCTTCGAGTCTTGCAAGAACATCCATGGCTTCATACGTCTCCTTGTCAACAAAGAGCTTCAAGTTATAATGTGATGCTGCCAGCGGCATTCCTTTCCATTTATCCACCATTTCATGAAGTTTCTCAGTACCCTGACAGAACAACCACGAGTTAGTAGCCGTGGCAGAAAACGCAGAATTTCAGCAACACTTCAAAGAAGAATCTCAATGACTAGATACTTTTAGGCATAAAATCAACCAATGTTTAAAATGTAAAATTTTGTCGATATATTTGTAATATGGCTTACCATGCGAATTGTGAAGTCGCCAAATGATTCTTTAGACAGGCGATTGCGTTTCCAGTAATAAAATAAAGGTTCCAGAACTTTCTCAAGATCATGTAGCTTAACCTTATCCTTGAATTGCTTTGCTAATGAAGTTTGGTTGGGGTTTCCACCGAGCCAAATCTATTTCAACAATACAAAAGTCACTAAAAATCATGACCGCATATTCACACTTTCACGAACGAAATGTCCAACAAATAGGTACTTCAACTACCTGATAACTGTTTGGACCATCACCAACTAAGCCAAGTTCAGCCATGTACGGTCTAGCACAGCCATTAGGGCAACCGGTTATTCTTATTACTACGGATTCATTATACTTCAGACCAACCTGACATAAAAATAGAAAGCCTACATCAGAGAGCCTCATAACATCTCCTTACTGCTGTAGTTCCATCACCTTTTCTATGCACGTCCATAAATCTTAGAAAACAGTATGCAGGAAACCATACCTTCTCAAATAATGCTCGAACTCGCTTAAGGATTTCAGGTATTCCACGCTCAGCTTCTGTAATTGCCAGAGGGCAAAGTGGGAAAGCTGGGCAAGCCATTGCCGTCAAGTTGAGAGGATCGACATATCTAGGTTGCTGGTCATGTAAATAATTGATTACCATGTGCAAACTTAGCCTTAAAATAATTCGAAGATTATTTTTACAAAGACAACTAATTCAAACTTCAACTATTAATAGAAGTAAATGGTAATATAGAAGCCTGTGAGAAGATTCCTGGGAAGTCTTATCAAAACAATGTCCATTAGCAGCCACATGAACATCCTGTGGAGCTGAGCATAAATGCAAAGACAACTGTTTGTAAAAGCAAAAATCATCAACTCACTCCATATTTCTTTCACTTCTAATCTTTGGTAACCGAGCATACACAGAAGAAGTATTTCTTGTAGATTATTAATATCACATTATTTCGCTAACTTGGCATAAACTTCACCAACAAACTCGCCTCAGAATCTATATGCCAAAAAGGTTCCAAAATGTCTCTTTGATAAAATTATCAAATTCGCCACATATTTTAGCTATTGCCCTCATCAATCTTATTATCAAATAACTCTTCCACTAATGATTTCACTTCTTCCTTGTAAGATCTTCCCAGGGAAATTTTTGATATAGATTTTAATTTATTTCTTCTATCAGTTTTTAATTTATCAAAAAAAAAAAGTTACAACTAGGGGATACCTGACATAATGTCAGTTGGGACTTGGGACAAACTACCTCCTCATGAAACATACTTCTAAGCCACATTATTAAGCCATTCCTATATAGCCTAATATAATTCTTAAATTATGACATCTTA